GAGACTGATGTCAATTTTACCAGAAACAGATAACATAAGAAATTGAAGATATTTCTACAGATGAACGTATTTGAATGTAATAAAATGTACGCTAGAGTTTGCAAATACAAGAGTGCATATACAGTCGTTTCGATCCTGTCTAAAACTTATCTGGCATTCGTTCCCACAGTAATCACAGATTGATTTTTTTCACATTAATGCAACAGCTCACAAGATTTCGTTAATGCTTGTCGTAATAGGAAAAAAACAGAACCAATCCATAAAGTTGCTAATGATTGAATTGCGAAAGTAGCAATACTATTTTTTATGGCAAAAAAAGTTCAGTTCATGAACATGCTTTGGTTTTTCCTGCACGAAAGTGATCTTATGTGAAAAGATAAGATTTTGAATTTTGACAAACAATTTATTATGCCGCCTGGTGTATGTAAAATATATTCGATTAAGATAGTATTCTTAACAGTTATTGAAATAAAGTCTCAGTTTACCACCTTAAAAAATCCTGAAGAAAACTTTTCGAATCATATAAAATGTTTAGCTTTTCACAAGATCAATTATGTGTGAAATATTTTGTCTCATAAACTGTCTATAGGAATTTATTGAAAGTTTCGCTAAATACTTTTGACTTAGTTCTAAATGATGTTTCAAGCAAAAGTTTAGAATCTTGAATAGAGCAAACTTCATCGTTGCTCCATAATAGCGATTTCTGATAGCATTTTACAATGAATTTTATGTTTATGTTTGACCTTATCTTTAGAGCAATTCGCAACACAGCGCTATAACAATGGCATCCACATCGTGTCCGAGCACTGCACTAATCAGCATCACCGTTGAATTATCTTCGAAAGGAAGTGAAAATAAAGTCAATCTAAACAATATTCCATCGTCACTCACGGTGGGTGAGTTGAAGAACAAATTAGATGTACCAGCGAATTCACGGTTTGGACGACTAAATCAGTTTGAAAGCTGGGATAATCGACGACCATTGTCCGACTATTTTGTCGAAAACGGGGAAACATTCATGTGTGTTATACAATGCACTATAGAAGAGGGACAAAGTTCTTTCGATGATTATAATGAATGGTTATTAGCTAACAAAAAGCCAGTACATTAACAACTTCAATAGCAGTGATGTTCGAAAAAAGTGCATTTTATTTATTTATCTAAAACATTCTGTAGTATCTTTTATTTTTCTTTCGAATAAACTATTTTCAGAAGCCTCTCTACTTGTTTACTTCAGTTAACTTTTGAATGTCAATACTGTTTTGACGCTTGAAATATTTTCACGTAAGTAAAGTTAGCACCAGATTTGATTATTTCTTGTCCCGATTCGCTTTCTTACCTGTGTTAACTCTCTAAGCACTTGTGTTAGGTACAAACTTTTATGCTCTATCTAATGGTACTAGCTTCAAGGGGGGTCATCGGGCAAAAACCATCACTTTTACCCGAAATACTGGTTATTTCCCTGTGCAACAATAACGAATATCCGGTATTTCTTGTCCAGATTCGCTCTACGACTTGTGCTAATCTTCTAACTAAGTGTGTTAGATGCAGAATTAATTTCTTTATCCGATGGTTCTATTTCCAAGTGGTGTTATCGGCCAAAACAGGGGGTTACACCCCAAATACCGGGTCCAGGATCCGATTTCGGGTGCAATACATGTTCGGATTCGCTATACAATTTCTGTTAGTATTCTAGTTGAGTGTGTTAGATGCATAATTAAATTCTCTATCCGATGGTACCATTTTCAAGTGGTATTATCGGCCAAAAATGGGGGTTATGCTCCAAATACAGGGTCCAGGACCGCATTTGGGATGTAATTCTTGTCAGAATTCGCTATACAACTTGTGTTAACTTACGAGTTGAGCATATTAGATGCAGAATTTAATTCTGTATCTGATGGTACCATTTCCAAGTGGTGTTATCGGCCAAAAAATGGGAGTTATATCCCAAATACAGGGTCTAGAACCTGATCTCGAGTGTAATTCTTGTCCGGATTTGCTATGCAATTTGTGTTAACTTTCTAATTGAGTGTGTTAGATGTAGAATTAATTCTCTATCCGATACACTCAATTAGAAATTTAACACAAGTTGTGTAGCCAATCCGGACTAGAATTATACCCGAAATCTGGTCCTGGTGCTGGTATTTGGGATATAACCCCTCGTTTTTGCCCGATAGTGCGACTTAAAAATAGTACCCTCGGATAGAGAAATTAATTCTGCATCTAACACACTTAGTTAGAATATTAACAGTAGTCGTAGAGCGAATCCGGAGAAGAAATACAGGATATTCGTTATTGTTGCACAGGGAAATAACCAGTATTTCGGGTAAAAGTGGTAGTTTTTGCCGGATGACCCCCTCGAAACTAGTATCATTCGATAGAGCATAAAATTTTGCACCTAACACCGGTGCTTAGAGAGTTAATACAAGTAAGAGAGCGAATTGAGACAAGAAATACTCGAATCTGGTGTTAACTTTACTTAAGTAAATTTTCAATCCGAATAACATTCAATTTCGAGTAAGACAATTGATGAGAAAAGTTCAACAAGACGAATACATCAGCGATACTTTTAAAAGATCCCAACATGAAAGAAAAACATCAACAAAGAAAAAACTTAGAGAACATTAGATAGACTAAAAAGAAGTAAAGTGTATCTCTTTTTTCTCAATAATTTGTTTTTTTTTAATTTTTGGGAGTGGTCATGAGTATTTTCTTCTTTCCATTGACAACCATTCTTTCGAAGTTTTTCCGGTATAGATGGATTCGGCAAGGACATCGTTCAATAGAGCATGTCGAGTTTCACGAGACATATTTGAATCGAAACTCGACACCGGCTCGCCAATGAATATCTAGTGTCATTAGGACGCTTGGGAACCTAAAAGTCTAGCTTTTGGGGACGTTGCGGATATTGCACTGACAGGTATGGTGTGGGTATGAGTGCGGGTGTATGGATGCAAGTGTGTTTGTGGCGTATGGGTGAGGAGAGAATCAACACATAATCACATCCTCAAGTTTAGAACTCATGGTGATAAATAATTAAAACGTCCAACAAATACTTAGGTCATACGAAAATCGTGACGGAGGTACTTTAATTCTTGATAAAAGCTTTAAGAAACGTTTTTTTTTAGATAATCTGATAGATAAAAGAATGCTCTATTTGTCTATGCTATTTGATCATACTTCAACTAATATCATAATAATCAACTTTCGATAAGACTTGTTTTACTATGATCTGTGCCTGGTAGTGCTAGTGCCTATTCATTGAATATTTTGTAGGATAACGTTGGATATAAACAAGATAGAGAACTGCAGTTTTCATCGTTCGAAGGAGAAGATGAATATGCACCGACTCATATATTCTAGATTTTTTTTCACATGACTCTTTTAAAGGTTTTCAATCAACCTTTTTGAAAACAAACCTACTCGTGAGGTATTTACAATGAGCTCTCAATTGTCAGGTGTGTATTAAAACCGCCGATTGAAGATCTACAAAACTGTACAAGATTCAGAGATTTAAAATTAGTCGTTCAGAAGTAATCGGTATCCTAGTCGAAATTTTGAATGATTTTTTTTGGCAATTTCTGTAAAAGAATTTTTTACCGTTTCCTATTTGATAAGAAGCTATTTTTCCCACACTTAGAAAACTAATTAAACAAACAGTACATCATACGCTAGGAAAATGTATCATGTATGATTCGATGCATCTGGATCCCCTCTTTTGAACGATGAAAACCGCAGTTTTCTATCTTATTTGTATCAAATGTTATCCTACAAAATATCCACTGAACAGGTACTAGTATTACCAGGCACATATCATAGTAAAATAAATCTTATCGACAGTTTATTATTATGGTATTAACTGAAGTATGATGAACTAGCATAGAAAAATAGAGAATTCTTTTCTCTATCAGATTATATAGAAAGAAAATTCCTTAAAGCTTTTTTTTATAAAGAATTAAAGTACCTCCGTCACTATTTTTGCTATACCCTAAGTATTATTGAGAAAACATCAATTCGGAACCAACGCCATTCAATATTGAAGACAAACAATCAATTCACTCTCATCTTATTCAGAAAAATAAACGAAGAATATGTGGGTGTGTGGATAAAGAGCAGATTCAAATCCACATCCAGACCCAAAAACAATTAAAATCATACTAAACGAACTATACACGGAATATTACAGTTGTATTCACCCTAGAAAACGAACGAATAAAGATGAAAAATGCTAAGTCTGCTTGGATAAAGAAAATACGAAATGGCTGCTCGAGACTGCTACATCAAAAACTCATTTCCACTTTAACGAGAAAACCTATTCTCGATGCAACGGCATCAGCATGGGATCAGCTCTCCGACCTCTGCTAGCGTACATCTTTTCAATTTATCTTGAGAATGAGACAATAAAGAGACTGAAAGAAAACGGCCTCGTATTCTACCAAAGCTACGTTGATGATGTGTTTGCTATTGTTAAACTAGAATCAGACGTTGATCAGCTACAAAATATACTGAATTCTTTTCATACATCAATACAATTCACAGTAGACCCTAAGAAGGATAAGTATCTGCCATTTCTTGATATTCTCATTTGTCGCCTTCCTCAGCACGATCGATGATGGTGTACCACAACTATTTATAGAAATCCCACATTTACCGGCCTCTTACTAAAATGGAAATTATTCGTGCCAGATGAATATTAAAAAAGTGCTATTTCAAGTATAGTTTATAGGGCTATACAAATCTCATTTAATTATCTGGTTTTACATAAAAAATTCTTATTCATTCGATAATTAAGCATTTCAAATGACTACCTCTTATCTTTCATGACTAAAACTGACTCTCTTCACTCTAAAAGCAACAAAAAAGAGTCAAATAAGTAGGATATACCGAAGAGACAAGTTCATCTTGTAGACATTCCATACGTTGATCACATAACGACATCTTATGGAAAAAAAATTGGTTGACTTGCCAAATTCATCCGTCCACAAGTTCATATACAGCCTATGCTACGCCAATTTCCTTCAACTCAGACAATATTTCCTCGAAAGGATCTTCTAGCAAAGGAACTAACATCTCATGTTGTCTACAATATTAGCTGTAAACATTGTCCAGCATCCTACATCGCAAAGACTTTTCGTCAACCAGAAAGACGTTTTGCTGAACATGGTAAACCGGAAGATATTCCCATTAATTCTTAACCGTCAACCACTTCTCCTAACTAACCAGATTAGTCATCATCAACTATGTTGGTTCCTGTCAGACGTTCCACTCGAAAGAAAAATATTGTTAACTATGCTCTTTACGACAAACTGTTGGAAAGTATTAGTGAAGAAGAAACTACAAGCTCAACCGCACCTCCTACCGTAAAGTCTGCTATTCACCAGCATAAGTTGGAAACAGGACACACCACAGACTGGCGAAACTGAAAAATTATTAGTCAAGATAAAAACCGATCTCGTCTAGTCATCGGTGAATCTTTATTAGCTATCCTTATGTACAAACCAACTCTCAACGAGACTATTCGTTCCACTCCATTGATCGTATATCCAAAAGGTGAGGCAACATCCAGGCCTAAAGTGAAAATGAAAATACTCCAGAAAGCAGGACAGCAATAGAGGATGGTCAACGATTTATTTGTTTTTCTAAACGTTTAGAAAAACAAATTTAACAATAATATAGAGGTCTTTACTACTGTAAAATATTCTTGTTCTGTTGTTATATTTAATTCATTGTCTATAGGAACTATTTATTTATCTATTTGTCTGTTGTTCTTATAGGGGGTGGATTCATCTTCACTCACTTCTTGTCTGACGATGCAACTCAATGATACGAAACGTACGTCATTTATTTAAATAAATAAAGTAAATTTAAAATAAATTTTATTTTTGCTGTTACAACTATATTATTTAACACAATTTTGTTGTCAATATTTTATCAATCCTATTTTAATGAAACATATGCCAAGAATTAGAATCGATCTGGTTAACATAGCAAAACTGCTCAGTCTGCACCGGTTTTTACCCGGCACTATCAGTTTTATCTTCTTTTGTTTTGTCTATACTTTTTTTTATCTCTTTAATCGAACGGTATTTTGCTTTATGAAAAGTTCAATGAAAACTGCGCTAGTTGAGATAAATCTCCTCAACATATCTCGTTGATGTTTTGTTAGAGACTAGATTTTAGTTTGGTTCGTCATTCTAAGAGAAATATTAGGTTCTTTTGGTAAAATTTCAGTGAAAAGATGCAAGATTTTCCTTTTAGCAATCGATGACCAAGTTAATTGACTCTTTTTCGCGTCAAAGAAACATAACATCTTCGAGAAACTTCAAAATATAAACGAATACGATATGATATTGTCCTAAAACGACAAGCACAACGAAAGAAAACTGAGCTGTTTTTAAGAGTACTTCTTTCAATCGATTAAAAGTGATCTGGGAAGCCAGTCAGTATACCGGTGTAAAAAACGTTAGGAACCGGCCGGATCAGTTATAACTCTGATATATACAAATAACAGGAGAGAGTAGGAGCTAAAAATAATTTTTTTGTTTTGTGATAATTTTCTTTGAAAAGAATGTCTGACTCGAGATTATCATTTGTTAGATTATGTAAAATGTATCTATTTTAGGGTAAATATACTCATATTGATGTTACTGAATTTATTAAAAAGCCGACATCATCGGCACAATCGGACAAGCTTTAGTTTTTTTCTCTCGTATTTTTGTAATAGTTTATTTTGTATTTTTGGGAAAAAACTGATACTGAAAAAACGTCAACTAATAATGAAGAAGATGGTAAGCTATAAAACTTAATAATGCTTCAAATATATTTGTTCTATTTAAGATGCTGCATCGATTTCGATTGAACGTGCATTATTAATAGTTGTTGAAGTAAAACCAATTGAATTACAAAAATCATTTCAATCGACATCAACCATTAAAATATCTTGAAAGTCGATTTATTATTTGGAATAATATTGTTGCAAAAACATGTAATGGTGAAGAAATTCAAATATCATTTCATGATGTATCATATCATCATTCAATAACAAATGATAATAAAACAGATAAATATTCAATAGATAATTTATCATTATCATCTATAATTCTTGCTTCATCACAAACTGAAAAATTTTCATGCAGATTATATAAATGTTATGATTCAAATATGCGTCAATAGGCAATTAGTACAGAAAATAATGATATAATTGAACTAATTTGTTTACATAAAGATTTCAAAACTGTTAGTACATCGCAAAGATTAATATAATTCGTCTTCAAGATTCAATAGTTTCGATGTCATATTATCAAAATGAATTATGGATGATTCATCATTCGACTCAATCTTTCTATCGTTCGAAGGAACACGAACTGAAGAGTATTGACATATAGGGATACACATTCAGTATTTTCTCTTTCTACAAACCGCAACAGACATAGCTTTCAAAGATTAAATTTATTGTGGATATTTATGAATTACTAAGAAAGAAATCGATGGGGTTTATACGAAAGAGAAACGACAGAATCCTGAAATTGAATGAAATCTTTGATTCTACCATTTCTTTCTGGCGAAGATGATGCTTCTTTATCTACTCTTCTATACTTGCTGACAACCTTGCCCAATCCTAAATTCAGCTACTCTCTTTTACTTAATATGTTAAGTAAAAAGAGTTAAGGCGATATTGATTATTTTAGATGACAAATTGAAAAAACTATCGACTATGTATATTGTTAGTCAAGAAGAAAACAATGAAAAACTTAGCCGTGAAGTCTGATGAAGTCAAGTGAGGTTCTGTGAAATTTCACGAAGTCTTCTGAGAACTTAAATGTCTAAAGAAGTCTCAAAAGTCTTTTGAAGTCCGTCGAAAATTTGAAACATGTGCTGTTGAGGTTTTTGGAAGGCTAAAAATTTGCTGCTTCTCCGTTGGTGGTATTATTAAAATCAGTAGTTTTTTTTTTATTAAGATTAAATAACCTTTTTATTTCTAGATTAAATAGGCATCATGGATGAATTGTTAACCAGTTTATAAAAACAAAATAAATCAAAAATTCAAAACAAATTTGATTATATGTTTATTTTTATTCAATGCTTTATTGTATATCATTTTCCTCAAACGACAGTAAGAAAATTACTTTTATTTAAAAATATATGCCTTATCTTTTTCAAAAATAATTAACGACATCATTAATTTTAACTATAATCAATCCATATGATGAAAACTCGCGATTTACCGCAGCTTTACAGGTCCAGTTTTTGCGACATGAGAATACAACAACTATACAATGAATTACAAAATAAACAGTAATATAATAAAAATCAAAATTAAAAAAAAAACAAGAAAAGGTTATTTTAACTGCATCACTAAATAGAATATTGTTAAATGAGTGAAAAGAAATTTTTTTATGAATATCAGAATAAAACTAGTCGATTCGAAAATGGGGATTTTTTATTGGATCATTTCGTCAGGAAAGCAAATAAAACTTTATGGTAAGATATTATGATTCTAAAATAGATTCACATTTTTAACCTTAATCCGTCAACCTGGGGTCCATACGGAGCCCAGATGAAAACAAGTGCTTCGAAGATATGTCTTGCTTCTCTTCGAGACAAAAAATAAGTAGACAAAATCAGTTCATATTGATAGTGCACACCATTGCTTGTCACTGTAATATAAATTGAAGAGAAAAAAATGTAATCACTATACTCAGGAAACAGCCGAGAGAGGCTGATAGAACTTGCGCATTTTATAGGTTGAGGGATCAGGGTTAGTACTTTGATATTAAACGAGTATTTGTCTTTTGTAGCTATCAAAACTTGCAAGCATTGGACGAAATCTTACAAAAGATTTTTCGGTCGTAAATGTTCGACAAATTCACCATTAAATACTATTTCACAAACGATAAATACTTTATCATCAAATTATTCTTCATGTCACAAAAAATCGGATCACTTTTAGCGGTAAATCGGCGATTTTGACAATTACCGCGGTACGTTATAGGCTTCATCGGTAATTTTTCCGGTGAACCGTAGAAAACGAATGGCTGCAGAACGAAAAAGAAAACATGTATCTATGAGTGAATTGTAATTTGTTGGTACGATTGACGAAAAAAAACGAAGGAAACCTAAACAATTTTTCTGTAGTGCATTTTATGATAATCTGTACCTATATTGTACAGTAAAATTTTCCTGACACTTAATCAGTTATTAACAGAAATATGGAGTTTACAAGTGAGCGATTTTTCTGATTCATGTTATTTTCTAAAGATTAAGATTTTACAGCAATTTCTGTGCATTGTGGTAGAAATAAGTCTCGAGAATAACCTTTAAACTATCTTTTGAAGGTTGATCTAGGTTCGTGGAAGATTGCCATATTTTGTTGCGTCCCGCTAATGGATCATGAGATGGCTTCAACGTATGTTTTATACGCAAATTCCAATTTCTATAGATCTGACATAGTTTCTGTGTATATCTCGAGTATATTCCTACACATCAACTAAAATGAAGTTATAAAAAAAGTAAAACACAATAAAAGTAAAATTGCTCTTTGTTTTCACTGCGAAATTAGTGAATATTGATGACTTGCATCTATTTACGATATGAATTTCGTTACAAACTCCTTCATCATCATAGGCATAGGAACTTTCGTACAAACTGGAGCTACATAATCAGCTATCTTTTTCTTCTGTCACTCACAAAGGTTACAACAATATCTTCTCGATTCAATTTAGCTAAATTTTCTTTAAAATCATTTATTTTCATATCAACTTTTGCTAAATCATATAAATTAATAGATGTAAAATGTATTATAGATTTTATACACGAATATTTATGTTTCAACTGACGGAGTTTTTCATATTTGAGTTGAGAACTTAAACATACCATACATAAGCAACTTTCCCAACTATCATGATTCGGTTCTTTAATATAAGATGGAACTTACCGTGTAAATGTGACATAATCTATATCAATGTTGCTTTCCAATTCGACTTGCTGATGAAGATTATTCAAATAATTAAGACGATATCGAATGTGGTGATTATCAATTTGTTTATTTTTGTCCAGACAAAGTTTTGTAATGTAATCACGACATAGAAAGGTTTCAATTTGAGTTTGAAGTGATGATCGTGATGGTTTTTTGGCAAGATTTATTTTGACATATTAATACCTAATTTACGTTTAATTTGTCTGCTGAACCACGTGGAAGAATTTCTTTCTTATCCTTAAGACGTAATACAGCACGTTGTTTAGCATTTGAGCTGAAATTATCAAAAAAACTTTTGATGGTGAATCATGTGGCGGCGTTAGAGATCGAGATATATGAAATTTTGCGATTTCTTTTATTAATATTTATATTGTTTCTCGGAATGCATCATTTTCATTTTTTAAGTTTGATATATTCATTCTTCGTCACCTTTCACCTTCTTTTTCTTCTTAAATCAAATGAGCTTGAATTAGATGTATCTGGTGTTAACATAATTATTTGTTGTTGTTTCTTCTTGTTTTGACGCTATTTCTGTTGCGCAACTGCTGTACGTTTTTCCCATTCTTTATCAAATTTTCTTGATAGAGTTCGTTTCATGTTAATTCTTTTATTATAAAGCTGGCTCTTAGATAAACGATGTGTGTTGTCAGATCGTTTCATCTGGAATTATGAAGATGAGTCGTAGAGCAAGAGTTGAAGCTTTCTGTAATACTTGAAAATGCCGACTCAGATATATTGGAGTGACATTCTAGAGGAATTTATTGTCTTGAAAGCATCGATCTATTGGATACCTAATCTACAATCCCATAAAAGCCCTTGAATTTGAAATTATCGCCATTCAGAAACTGATAAAAATCAATACTACAGCTATAGGTGTGCATAACCTTGCAATTTTACCTTTCAAAGGACTAGGTTCGTTTGCCGATGCTAACAAACCCCTGTCAAAATCTTACGCTTTTTGTGAACTATATACATAGATTGATTTTTCAGAACAAAAAAAATGCATGGCGTCAAATATCATTCATTTTGACCCGCTTTTAGTTGAAAATCTACATGAAAAAGGTCGTTCTACATTTTGTTGTATATTGTGAATTTCTCAAGAACAATATGAGATAGACCGCTGAATTTTAGATTGCTTATATAACTTTTAGAACTATATCTTCAGTAAAACTTTGAACACAGACAACGAAGCCATTCAAGAGTTATTCACATAGTAATATTCAAAAAGTCGTCTTACAAAGTGAGTGAAACTTGAATTTTTAGGAAATAATGAATTTTTTTATCGAAAAGAAAACTTATTCAGAAGGATTTCTTTATCATTTTGTTGGTAATTCAGTTGTCTTTCTTTTGTCTAGTTTCGCTTTCCATTCACTTTCACCAAGACGAAGAAAATTCAACGATAAAGTCGTTCTGCACAAAAATGACAAAGTGTCTGTAATTAAGTATATGGAAAAACTGGATGTGAACAGTGAACAGAAAAAGAAAAATATACAAAAGAGTATATACTGGATAGAGCATTTCAAACTGTACATAACTGAATATTCATTATATATCTTCTCTTTTCTCTTATACTTAAAAAATATCCTTCTCTTAGTACACCTACATATAAAATACGATTTTTTGACACTATAGGCCTGATAGCTCAATGACTGTAGGAGTTAGAGAGCTGAAAATTTGTACGGCAGTGGAACGCTCAAATACCAGTAACATATAAAAAATTAGTCTAAATCGGCTCGGCATAACAAAAGTTATTAGCGAAATACAGCTAAAATATCAATCGTACCAAAAAGTTACAATTCACTCGTATATATATCGACCTTTTTCTCAGGTAACAAGGTTAGATAAATGAAGATAAATATAAAACATTCATGTGTTGAAACCCGATAAAATTCTTCTGATTATTTTACAAAAACTGAACAATATGAAAGTACTTTATTCTTTTCAAAATGTCAATGAACGACTATATTT